TACATTGTATATTGACAAAATAAAAATTAAAAAAAAAAAATTTCAGCCCACTTTCATCCATTTATTTCTGCTTTATTGCTTTGGCAGTGTTTTGTCAATTTTTAAAATTTGCAAAGTTGCTACAATAACCAAGTATATATTTATATCTTATGCTTAGTATACATATTACTTTGTAATCTATCCTAATTTGTTTTAACAAATTGGTGGATGTTAAGGTTGTTTCTAACTTTCCTCTATTCTGTTTAGTTTGTTTTTGGCAGCTGGCTGGTATAACTTTTCCCTATTCTGTACACAGAGCAGGCAAGAATTGATTGGAAATAAATTAGAAGTAAAAACCACAAAGTAGAAAAAACTGAATTGTAGAAAAAAATAAAGTGTTAAATAGCCAAAAAAAACAAAAAAAAACAAAGTACTTCTGAGTATTAACACACTTAATCCTTACAATAACCCTATGAAATAGGCACTATTATTTTCCATAAGAGGAAACTCAGGCACAGAAAGGTTAAGTAACTTACCTAATGTCACATAGCTAGAGTATCAGTTAGAATGCTTTCAGCTATGGTTGACAGACACTGCCAGCAATTGGTGCATTTATGATATGACATTACAGGAAGACCAGAGGTATGACATGTTTCAGAGCTAGTTGATTCAAGAGCCAAACAAAGTCATCAGTAAAACTGTTTCCATCTTTTTTGAAAGCCCATTGTCTACCTAATGGCTTTGTCCTCTGGCTGGCCCCTCTTGTGGTCACTGGGTAACTGTGGCAGTTCTTGGCATTACTTCTACACCTGGCAATGTCCAGAGTCATGGAAGAACCCTCTCCTCTGGTGCACCTACAGTGGAGTGTAACAAGGTTTCCCATTAGCTCCCAACAGACTTGTCCTAATGTCTCCCTCACCAGAACCAGGTTCTATGCCCAGCCCTGGACATTCACTGCCAAGAAGAGTGGGATCCCATGATGAGCATAGGTCAGACAGAAGTTACCCTTGGCACTGGGGATATGGTCAACCTCCCTGCATGTTCTGTGGGGGACAAATCTGAGGCTCTGCCAGTAGCAAGCAGAGGGGATTGCTGTGGGGAGCCCCCCATTAGGGCCTGCTCTGGCTCATGAGCAGAGGAGGCAGATGGAAGCCCAGAAGCTTTGTCGATAGAGCATATACTGAAAAGTCTGATTCAGTAATTCTACGTGGGCTTTTGTGGGGTGTTTTTTTGTTTGTTTGTTTGTTTTTAGCTGACACCTTAGAAACAGTTGTGGAAGTTTGAACAAATTGACAGAAAGAGTGCATCTGGAAAACTGGCCTTCTATGACTGTCTGAGATGACTGTCACTAGCAGTCTGTAGAAGGGGTTTACAAATACTTACTCCTGGCCTATTCAGATTTTTCAGGAATAGAGTTTGAAAATCCAATACAGGATGGTGGTGTGATTATCTTAAAGAAACAGTTCTCAAACTTTTTGGTTTTAGGAATTTTTTATAGTCCTAAAAATTATTGGCGACTTCAAGGAGCTTTAGTTTGTGTTGGTTGTATCTATTTTCTTAGAAATTTAAAAGGAGAAATTAAAATAGGCATTTGTTAATTTATTTAGAAAAATGATAGACCAACTATGTGTTAATATAAATAACATATTTTAAGGAAAACTAACTGTAGTTTTCAAAACAAAAGCTTTAATGAGAAGAGTGTTCTATATTTGTTTTATATTTTTTGCGAATTTCATTTGTCTGGTTTAATGGAAGACAGCTGAATTCTCATAGCTGCTTCTGCATTCAACCTATCAGGCAGCCACATAATCTGTAGCCTCTGGAAAACTCTGCTGAACATTTGTGAGAGGATGACAGTAAAAAAGGCAAATAAAATCTTAATATTATGAAAATAATTTTTTTTTTTTTTTTTGTCCTTTTTGAGACTGGCCGCACTGCGCTCAGCCAGTGAGCGCACCGGCCATCCCCATACAGGATCCGAACCCGCGGCGGGAGCACCACTGAGCTCCCAGCGCTGCACTCTCCCGAGTGCGCCACGGGCTTGGCCCCTATGAAAATAATTTTGATCTCATGGATTCCCTCAAAGAGTGTCTCGGAACCCCAGGGGTCCTCAGATCACACTTTGAGGACCACTCACTTAAAGTATGTCCACTGGATGTGCCTATGCATAATTTATAATTGTTCCCAGTAGTAGCACAGGTAATGACAGTAGATAAGATATTAAAAGAACACACTTAAGTTGATAAAATGAGTATCAATAGAACAATACGCCAGAGTCCAGGGAATCTGATAAGCTGGCAGAATCCTGCTGAAGACACCAGTTCATGAGCAGTTTACTTAAAGGTTTTCTCACTTGCCCAGTCTCCTAGAATATTTAAAATATAATATGATTTACACAAAATATATGCACTAATATATATATTTCTAAGGAAATATCTATGACATGAAGCCCATTTATTCTCCACTTTTTTTCCAGACTTAACATTTCAGATGATTTAAAGATTGGCTTTTTCAGCACAGACCATGCTACTCAAACAGATTGGAGTGAAATTTTGCCAATAAAAGAGTTGAGTTCATCGACACAAAAGTTAGTTCAGGTAAATCTGGATTTGTTTAGAAACTTCTGAGATAATTTTTAGGCTTTATTTTCCTTCATGTTTCTTTCACTGACAGAATCAAAATGACTAAATTAAAAAAAAATTGGCATCTTTGACAAACAGCTAAATAACAGTTGTGTATTTTTAAATTATTAATAAGCCACTTATATTTTTGTCGTATTTATGTCATGCTTACATATGGCAACTTGTTTAGTGAAATGTTTTGTTACTCTATTTGGAATCCTTTGACATCTGTGAACATTTTCTATTTATGATACTTTTAAAAAATTATAAAATATTTTTGCATATAGACAAATGTAGAGAATAATATAATGAATAACTGTGTTGCCCACCACGCACCTCTGACATTCTATCATATTTCCCTTGAATCTTCTTTGATTGTAAGGGAATAGAACATTTAATATACGTCATATACCGAGTTATTATTAAAAACCCTAATCAATAAAACTGTCACATGAGGTAGCATCCTACTACAAAAGTACTTGTGTACTTTGCTGTTTGGGTTTTTTTTTTTTTTTTTTTTTTCACTTAATATAACTTGGAAATCATTCCATATTGGTACATAATGAATTTTCTCACTTATTTTTCAAGTACGTCATGTCACAAGATGTACATCATATATTTAGCTTTGTCCCCATTGATGGACATTTTGGTTGTTTCTAATCTTTTACTCTGATGAATAATCCTGCAATACTCATGTGCCAGTAAATCTGTGGTGTAGATTTTTAAAGGTGGACTTTCTGAGTCAGAGGATGTATGCATTAGTCATTTTGAAGGATTATTGCCAAATTGCCCTGAATAGAGATTGTACCAATTTACCTACTAGTAACTTTTGAGGATGTCTCTCTCCTGCATAATTGCCAATTTATTGTCTTCTTTTATGTCTTCAGAAAAGTTTTATAATTTTATTCCTTGTAACGAGGTGTGTCCAAATGACTAAGTTTTGATCAGCAGGATTTAGAGGGAAATCATATGTGGCAGCTTTGGGGAACCTTCTTTAAGACACAGTTCACATGCACCCTCTCTCCCTTCGTCCCCTCCTCCCCTTCTTCCCCTCTCCGTCTCCCATCCCTCCTTTCCTTCTACCTTCCTTCCTTCCCTTCCTTGGTGAGAACATGAATGCTACCATTTGGACCATGAGGTTGAGACAGTATACAGCAGAGTAATAAGACAGAAGAATCTTAGATCATTTACTTCATTCACTGCATAGGTAGATTTCTAGTGGAAGAGAGCTAAACTTATTTCTCATTTATGCTTTTATTTGGATTTTTTGTTGTAGCTGAACTAAAATCTGATTCAATATGTTTAAATCAGAGTTGAGGATTTTTTTTCTATTTCTACTTGATAAGAGACCTTTAAAATCATGAGTGACTGGGTTTGAATGCTTTTCATGGATCTATTGAGATGATCGCCTGGTCATATGGCTTTTCTCCTTTATGTGATGATGTGGTGAAATTCGGTTTTTGAATACTAAACAATCCTTGAATTCCTGGAATAAATCCAACTAGATCAGAATAGTTCTTTTTGTGTCTCTGTGAAATTTTCTATTAGTTTATTGAGGATTGTTTTTCATCTATATTTGTGAGATTGCCCTGCAATGTTCTTTTCTCATACTACTGTTATTTAATCTTGATATCAAGGTCACAGTATCCTCGTAAAATAAGTTGAGAATGTTCCCTAGTCTATTCTCTGAAATAGTTGACATGAGATTGAAATTATCTGTTTCTTCAGTGATTGTTAGAACACGGATGCAAAACTGTGCTTATGTTTACTTCTGTCATTATGTTCCAGTTTTCTTAAATCTTCTTGGGTCAGTTTTGATGTTATGTTTTCCTAAAAAAGGTATTTATTTTGCTAAATCTTTAAATTATTGGTATAATATTGATTATTGTCTTCTCATTATTTTTACATCTATTGTATCTGTAGTTATAGTCCCTTTTTTATTCTTCGTATTGTCTACATACATCCTCTCCTTTTTGTCGGTGAACCTTGTGAGAGTTATCTATTTCATTAGTCTTTTTCAGAGACCCAATTTTTGGATTTTTAAATTGTCTCTGTGGTATCATTACTTTCAAGTTTATAAATTTCTTC